AATAAAATAAAATAAAATAAAATAAATTTATTGAAATAAAGTAATCTTGTCTTTGGTGGGGTTTTTTGGGGGTTTTTTTGGTACCAGGGATCGAACTTGGGACCTTCCGCTTGCGAGGCAGGTGGCAGAAAAAATAATCTTAAACTTTAAAAATTCAGTAAGATCCTATTGTGAAATTAGTAAAATTCAGAATAGACTGATTTTTTTTCCACAAAAAACTTAATAAAGAAAAATGATTTAAAGGTTTGTACTGTTCCACTTTGATACGAAAGAAATGGCTGACTTCATATGCTTCCACTTCCCCAGGGACTAGATAACCACAAGATGAGGTGGGCTTTTTGTTTCCACATTCAAAATACTATAGCACATTTATTTTATACAAATATAGATGTTTCTTCTCCCCCAGTCCCTATACTTTACAAGGTATCTCCACAAGTCTGAGTATTAATTAGTTACAGAAGTCACATTTGAACTACAGAAACTCCTCACTTCTACTTTTATATTAAGTAGATCCATTAAATAAATAACTACTATGGGGTTGAAGGTATATATAGCTCAGTGGTGGAGTGCTTGTCTACCATGAACAAGGCCCTGGGTTCAGACCTCAGCACCACTTTAAAATATAAGTTATAGGGGCCGGGGATTTAGCTCAGTGGTTCTGCCGACTGCCTTGAAAGCACAAGGTCCTGAGTTCGATCCCCAGTAACAAAAACAAAACAAAAACATAAAATATGTTATAAATCTTTCTTATAGTGGTTTTAGAAAGTAGAAAAGAATATAAAGATGTAGCTTATAATTATTAATTTGTCTTATCTGTGAAAGTATCATGAGATATTCAACAACAGAACTGGTGATAAAGTATTCTACCATTAGAATTGAAAACCTGAATAGAGTATTACTTACACTCTGAAAGTAAAAACTGCCACTGAACCTAGACCATGACAATTCTCACATACCTAAGACTAGAAGACGCAGCTATACATGCTATAAAACGTTCCAGAAATATTACGGTGTAATTGATGCCAATGCTTACCACTTTCAAAATGTTTTCTGTTAGCTCTTTTTCCTGTTGCATTTGATTCATTCTAAGAGAGAAATGAAACAAGATCATTCAAATGTTACTCTCAAGACTAAAAGATTCTTAGTTTAAGATCTTTCTTAAAAGGTTTAATATCTTAATGCTATTTTTTATGCTTGAAAAAATACTATTGATACACATTAATTTACCAGTATCTTCTCACTCTGCATTATACTCTCAATTTAAGAGTAAAACTTACAATAAAAGCTCATATCAAGTTAGAAATTAGTTTCTAGCTCCAGATTCCAGCTGCTACCTATTGCTAGTTCTAAATCCCATCTACTACCTGGATTCAAGAATTAGATTTAAATCTCTATGTATAAGCAAACTTAGAACTTTGTACTCTAATACTTGCATATGTTAAAATAATTTCCCCACATACAAGACAAACAGATCTTCAAGACAATTTAAATTAAAAAGTTTGACATTTTTGGATGAATGAAACAATTCCCAAAGTGCTCACCTCCATTGTCTTTTCAAATCTCTCTACCCTTGATTGCTAGAGTACTACCTGATCCTTGAAACCCTCTTAATTCATCTAAACAAACTCCTTCCCCACCCCCACCCCTGTACCAGGGATTGAACTCAGGACCTTACACTTGTGAGGCAGGCAGCGGCACCACTGAGCTAAATCCCCGGCCCCCAAACTTTTTCTTTTGAGACAAGGTCTCCCTAGGTAGTCCAGGCCTCAAACTTATAGCAATCCTTGCATTTCAGCCTCCCAAGTGCTGGGATTACAGGCATACAACATCATGCCTGGCAAATAAACTTTTACATAGGCCTTCTGCCCCCATTTCTGCTCTATTTCCTCTGTAACAAGAGCAAGTAAAAACTCACAAAATTTTTAAAAATTCTAATAAAGTGCCAAAGGTCATATCTGCAAACTTACACGCTTAACTGAGGGGGTCCAGGTTTTGCCTGTTTGACAGGAAAACTACTTTGAACAATTGTTCTAATTGCCCTGAAGAATGAAAAAAGAAAATTTAGCATACAATAATTATTAAAGTTATTTTTTTCAAATACTACAGTACTTAGAAAATCTGTATCATAAATTACCTAAAGTTCTGAGGTATAATATGTTATAAATCAAGTACAGTTTTAGCAGTATGTTCTTCACCTAGGGATCACCAATTCTTTCCATTGTCAGACACACAGTGCCCAAGATCCTGAGAGACCCCTGAAGCAGGAGACCCTTGAAAGCTAGAGTACAAATGAGCAGAAGGTGCCTGGCACATTCTGGATTTGTAAACAAATTTACCATCTATTGTAGAGAAGGATAGCCATGGCAGTGGTTGGAGGTAAAGTGGCCAGATCCATGTCGACATGCTTTGTCCCAGGAGGAACTTTACTGATGCAGAGAAGCTCATTTAGGAGCATATTCAATACTGGAACAGACAAGCTTTAAAGGAAGAAGCAAACGGTACATGTTTACATATCAGCTGCAGGAGAGGCACAAAATACACCATTCTAAATCTTCACTGAAAATAACTATATTGTTAAAGGATAAAATCTCCAGGTTTACCTATCAAATTTCAAAAGACTTCTTAAAACTTATTACTATGAAAGAATTTTAAATTTATAAAAAGTACACAGGGCCGGGGATTTAGTTCAGTGGTTTCACCACCTGCTGCGCAAGTGCAAGGACTCGAGTTCAATCCCCGGTACAAGAAAAAAAAAGTACACAAATATAATGAACCCCCATCAATGACCTTCAACAATTACCAAGTGACAACCAATCTTGTTGCCCACTTCCCAAATTATATTTCAGATATTTCAAAAAATTAACTCATAATCACAGTAGTAATTTCACATCTAAAATCTTTGACTTGCTTATTATCATCAAATATCCAACCAGAGGGCTAGGCAGAGCTTCTGGCCTCGCATTTTCAAGGCCCTGGGTCCAGTAGCCACCACCACCCAAAAACAAACAAAAAACCAGTATTCAATTTTGCAATTGCATTATTTTGTACATACTGCTATCAACTGATATGTCTCTTTGTCTATTAAGGTATGGGTTCCCCCTCAGATTAAACATTTTTTTTGTATCTAGTATTAGAATCTAAAATTCTAATTTTTTTGTACCGGGAATCGAACTCAGGACCCTGCGCTTGCAAAGCAAGCAGCAGCACCACTGACCTAAATCCCTAGCCCTAAAATTCTAATTTTTTTTTTTGGGTACCAGGGATCTAACTCAAGTCCTTGCACTTGCAAGGCAGGCGGCAGAACCACTGAGCTAAATCCCCAGCGGCCTAAAATTCTAATTTTAATAGCTAAAGAATGAATGTACAGTGGAAAAAAATGGATTTGAAATAAGTATGAACTCTCCTGGAATATAATCTAGCAAAATGTATCATGCCCCTTAAAAATGTTAACACTACACAACCCAACAATTTAAAGGGCATGGTAGTACAGGCCGGTAATTGCAGCACTCAGAAGGCTGAGGAAGGAGCCCAGACTACATAGTGAGTTCAAGGCCAGCCTGAACTACACACTGATCAGAATCAGCTATTCAGTCTGGGAGAAGGCCGGGGATTTAGCTCAGTGTCACCAGCACCTGCCTAGCAAGCGCAAGGTCCTGAGTCCGATCCGCAGTACCCCCACACCAAAAAGAGTGTGAGAGATAATGAAACTATGACCAGTAAAATTAACTGAATTATTCAACAGTAATATTAACTTTTACTCATCTTCAGATATTTAGTTGAACTGAAACGTTTCAAACAGTTTAGGTGTAGATGCTCTCTAGTTATCACACCAAAAATAATAAAACTGCCTCATTACTGACATCAAGTTTGTGCTCACTCCGGTAGCACATATACTAAAACTGACATCAAGTTTATACTGTAAAGGGTGATTTACACTCATCTAACATTCAAATGGTTGTTTGTTCGTTTGTTTTTGAGGTGAGGTTACCTCATCAGTATCTCTCAGGGTGAAATGATCCTCCTGCCACCTCAGCCTCCTAAACGCTTTCTTATACCTTTTGAAAAATATCTGCACATTTTACCAGGACTATACAGAAAAATAATTTTAAAATTAAAATTAAATTAATAATCTAGTTTTAAATTGTAATAAAAAAATATATAGAAGTAAACAAAAATATCTAAATCAGGCATGCTGTTACATGCTTGTAATCCCAGCACACTGGGAGGCTGAAACAGTTAAATTCCAAGTTCAAATACCAGCCTGGTCAATTTAATGAGATCTTGTCTCAGACTCTTAGTCAGACCCTGTTTCAAACAAATTAATTTTTTTAAAAGGGGGTGGGGGTGGGGATGTAAGCTCAGTACAAAGGCTCTGGGTTCAATACCCAGGGCCAAAAAAAAAAAACCTAAGTAGTACTCCAAAAACAAATTTAAAGCTTTATACCTTTTCTCTAATATGTCTAAGTCCCACTTCAAATGTGCAGCAACTTTAAGAGCAAGAAGTTTTAAAATACGATTTCTCTTGTTATCAGGTGGAGGTTGAACTTGGTTTTGTTCATTAACTGAAGGTTTGGAAGCCTGTTCCAAAAACTGAACGATAAGTTGAACTGGTGCAGGATCTAGGATTTTAAAGAAAATAAATGTTTAAGTTTTAATTATGAAGATGGAAAAAGAACCACGGTATTGTTTCAGCCATAAAAGGAATCCAAACTGTCTAGTTGCAATGAGAAGGAATATGACACATAAACAGTATGCCTGGGAGCTAAAGGGGTCAATCTGGAAGAGTGGTTGAGGAAGAAGGGACGAAAGATTACTACAGAAGAAAGCACTTCCCAGGGAAGCACACAGTACAGGTTGCCCTTGAGCAAATGACCAAGGCCGATTACAGGGAAGCCACGCAGGCTGTATAAGTGTTGTTTTGACAATCAGGGAGACCTCCATTAAGTTACTTCACTGCATCTGTTTCCTCCAATGCAATATAGAGAATACCAGCTACCTTACAGGATTATACTGAAGACTGCGCTGAACGAGGTTAACAGGTGTGAAGAATTAGGCATCCTGAAAACACTCAACAAATGTTTGTCAAAAGGGTTGAATGAAAAGGAGGTAAAATAGGTGATAAAGTATACTAACTTCACACAAAGGAATCCCTTCCAGTAAAGGCCAGTCTAGTAGGCTGAACAAGCCATACCTGGATTTAAACTTACCAAAATGCTAAAGTAAGGAACTTATTCTTTCATGGCATTGCCGCTTAACAGAAATGTCTGGGGTTTTCCTCCTTTCCTTCCCCCTACAAGGCCCACTTACGTGAGAAATTTAAGTATTATCACCACTACAGTGACGAGCTCGCCAACTGTATAGCAGTGCCTTCTTTTACAAACCTGAACACACAGCCTGACTTTGGAATAGAAAAGTAGACCACTGAGAAACAAAGAAAGACCCTAAAACAACTAGCGTCAGGCTCAGTCCAACAGCCCTGAATTTACACAGGCCTGGGCACCGTAAAGAGATGGTTCCGACCCGCCTTCCCAACCCAAGTAGCCCTCGAAGGTGCTAAAATCGCGGACAGTGGAAGGGACTGCAGGGGACTGAAGGCTTTGTTTTGGGATTCTCCCGAGCGCCCCGGGACGTTTCAGGCACAGAGAGGACCCAGCGAAAGCTCATCTCCCCCCGCGCCCCCCACCCCAGGCTGCCGCTACGGTGGCCGAGAAGATCCGGAAACGAGGGAGCACCGGCTGCAAGTGCGGTCTTGGGCTGCAGGTGCCAGGTTCACCTGGGCAGGGCTTGCGCAGATGTTTCTCCAACAGCGACTCCTCCAGCAGGAACTCGAACCAACAGGTCTGCGGCGGGGTGCAGGGCCGGCTGGAGGTGGCCGCCTCCCGGTCCGCCGCCTCCGCGCTCATCCTGCCCCCGCCGCCGCTCCCCCCAGGCGCGCTTCCGGACTCCAACCTGACACTCGGGCCCGGGCCTGTGGCCTGCGGAATCAGCCAAGAAAAACGCCGCTCGCCTCAAGTCCCTAAAACTCACACAGCCAAAATGGCGGCACAGGCCAACCCAAGCTGAGTTGCTGGATCGGCCTCCCGCACCGCGCCGGGCCTTCGAACCAATCCCTATTCGAGTCGGAGGGGAATGGGCGGGGAAAGGGAGGCTAAGCTTCGGGCCACGCCTCCTTCCGGTTGCTATGGGAGACGGTAGGGCAGTGGGCTGGATCGCAGCTGAGCTCCTAATCCTTTAGAGTTCCCGAGACCCCACCTTCCAGTGACCCCACCTCTCAGCATCCGCACCCTGGGGCCCAAGATTCTGCACAGGACTGTGAATTACTCTGAAGGAGCCACATCTGTTACATATGTATTTTGGGGGTTGTTTTTGTTTTTGAGAGGAAATCCTCAAACTTGAAGCAATCTTGTGTCAGTCTCCTGAGTACTGGGCTTACAGGTGTGCCCCACCATCCAGGCCCTCGGGGTGTGTGTATGTGTGTGTGTGTGTGTGTGTGTTGAAGACCCTACAGATGGTTAGAATGTCATGATTGTGGAAAAGTGGAATGTCGCAGCTTAAGAGCCAAAATTATCTTGACTATCTTTAGTCCCTTTTCACAGCCATTTACTACCAACCTCTGTAGCTGACCTAACATCCCTGGGACTACTAGATAAAACTCTTGGGATGTATCTTTCCACTTAGCAGAAAGCTTTCTGTGGCTGAAAGCTTCCATCAACTCTAAAGATATGAATGCTGTAAAATAAAATTTAAAAACCAGCTGCTTCCTGCCTGCCCTGCCATAGACTACTCCTCTGGCAGGCCCCTCTGCCATGCAGCCAGCCGACTATGGGACTATGGACTGAAACCTTTACAAACTGTGAGCCAGAATAAACCTTTCCTCCTTGAAGAAAAAGAAAAAAGATAAAATAAACTATAGGATGGGTCTGGAGATTTAGCTCAGTGGCACCGTGCCTGTCTGGCAAGCACAAAGTCCTGAGTTCCATCCCCAATACCAAGAAAAGAAAAAGGTCCAGGGATTTAGCTCAGTGGTTCCGCCGCCTGCCTCGAAAGTGCAAGGTCCCGAGTTCAATCCCCGGTACCAAAAAAGAAAAGAAAAAAAACTTTAGGAGATTTCCTTGCTGGCTGTGGTGGCACACACCTGTAATCTTAGTACTCTGGAAGGCTGAGGAAGGGGCACTGTGAGTTCTAGCCCAGCTTGAGTGATTTAGCAAGATCCTTGTTCTAAATAAATAAATAAAAAGGGCCGGGGATGTAGCTCAATTTGAAGGCCTGGGTTCAATCCTCAGTCTCACAGGGAGGAAAAAGAGATGTCTCCATTCTGCTGTAGCCCTATACCTGATGCCCCCACCAATGTATTTGGTAATTGCATTGATTTATGCAATTCTGTATTATGAAAAATTCATGTAATCTCTTCCATGAGATAGCACATTATTCAGGGTAACCTGAATCTGTTCCCTACCCTTGGGCACTCATATTTGGCTCAGAATAATCTTACTTCCTTTGGAGCAAGAGCCCTGTTTTGCATTAACAGAACTTTGGGGACAAACTCAAGCCATCGAAACAGTAAGCTTTTTTTTTTGGTACCAGGGATTGAACTCAGGACCTTGCACTTGCCAGGCAGGTGCGGTGCCACTAAGCTAAATCCCTGACCCAACAGTAAGCTTTTTAAACAGGGACTGATACCTACAAAATAGCAATAAAAGCTTTCCTATTTGCAAATAATTTTCATATGCATGATTCTGATTTCCTCCTACAAACAACCCTGTTATATATCTTTTGGGGGTTTATTTTGAGACAGGATCTCCCTTTGTAGTTCAGGCTCATTATGTACCCCAGGCTGCCTCGAACTCACAGCGATCCTCCTGGCTCAGCCTCTCAAGTGCTGGGATTACAGGCATGTGCCAATATACCTGCCAATATATATATATGCTTTTTAACCAATGAGAAAACTAAGGATTCCAAGAGTATAGTTCACCTAAGTTTCCCCAACAAATGAGAAGCTGAGACAGGCCCTCTGGTGATCCTCCCACTATATGCAGGCTGCGTCTAACATTTGATAACATTTGGCTTCTGGTCTTTTCCAGAATGAAGAGGGAAGACTTTGAAAATATTTTAGGGGGGGCCAAATCATTTTATTAGGGGGCTTGGAGGGGCTGAAAAGACAGTGAGATCTGGTGTTCTTGACAGGGCTGGACCTCACTGAAAGCTGAAAAGGCAAATAAAAGGTAGTAACGGTAAATAAAAGCAGTTCTTGCGTAAATGAAAGTAAATAGAGTGCCTCAATGGCGACAACTGCCATAAACCTCTCTGGGCTCTGAGCTGCTGCTCCCCAGCTTTATGTGGTGGTGCATGCCTGTAATCCCAGCACTTGGAAGGTTAAGGCAGGAGGATCATTGCACCATGGGTTCGAGGCCAGCCTGGACTACTCAGGAGACCCTGTCTCAAAAACAAACAGACAAACCAAAAATGAATTTCAAACCTGTCCTAGGTGAGGGAAGGGGAAGAGAATTTTTTTTAAAAAAAGAAAGAGACAAGCTGTGATATATATATGTAACCACCCCCCAAGATGATGGTAAACTGCATGAACTGCAAACATGTATTAATTTACAAAAAACAAAACAAAAGAAAAAAAACCTGTTCCTTAGCTATTGCCTATACCAGTGATAAGGAGCCTTTTGGAGCTTTCAATGATACAAACAGCTCAGTGCGCCACACATGCCATAGGTTCACCACCAACAACCTACAAAGAGCCATGTTCTTATCATCCACCCTGTCACTGAAGTCAGAAACAGGAGAGTCATTGTTATTCCCTGTCACTTTTTATGCCTAATTGGTGAATAAAACAAGCCAAATCTGCACATGCACCAAAAAGACACAATAACTTAAACTCCCTATTGATATTTGTTTATTTAGGGTCTCCAAGTTTTATTAGACTAATTCATGTTTTCCAAACTCTGTTCTTCAGAGCCAGAGGGTTTTGGTTTTTTTGTTTTGTTTCATTATCTGTTTTTAACTCACTTTGTAGTTCAAGCTGGCCTTGAACTCACTATGTAGCCCATGCTGGCCTCAAACTTGTGGCGATCCTCCTGCCTCTGCCTCCCAGTGCTGGGATCACAGACATGCGCTTCCACACTCAGCTACTTTCCTCTACTTTAATCATAGCTTATCTTTTTAATATTAGATATTAGAACCCATAAGTCACCAAATGTTTAGAGTAGCTACTCTGAGCTACACTGTGCTAGATGCTGAAGATGGAACAGAAATAATGTAGAAAAATACTATCAGAAAGTACAAAGGTGGCCAGGGATTTAGCTCAGTGGATCCACCACCTGCCTCGAAAGTGGAAGGATCCAAGTTCGATCACTGGTACCAAAAAAAAAAGTACAAAGGTACCCCACAAACTAGAAGAAAACACTTTCAAATGAAATAGCTGATAAGGGATTTTAAACTAAAATATATAAAGAATTCTTACAACTCAATAATAAAATGATAACCCATCTGAAAAATGGGGAAAGGATTTGAATGCTAGTCAGTCCTCCAAAAACACGCAAATGGCCATTACGCCCGTGAAAAGATGCTCTCGGCAGCATTCATCATTAAAGGCACCTATAGGGCCGATATCGCTTCATATCCAGTAAAATGGCTAGGATTAAAAAGACAAAAACAATGGATGTTGATGAAGATGTGGAAAAATTAGACCCCTCATCCATGTAAAGTGTGAAATGCCACAGCCATTTTTGAAGTCTGTCAGTTTCTCTTAATGTCAGAGGCAGTCTCACCAGATAACCCAGAGATCCCCCCTTCCAGATATCCATTGAAGAGCAGAAAATCTATGCCTATACAGAGACTTGTATGTGAATCTTTATAGCAGTATTATTTTACAACAGCCAAAAGATAGAAGCAACCCAAGCGTCCATCAGTGAATAGACAATGTGGTGTTTCACTGTACAGTATTCATTTTATGTCACTGCTTTAACAAATGTCTCTCACAGTTCCGGGGGCCAAAAGACTGACATCAGGTATCAGGGGTCCACACCTACTCCAGAGGCTCTAGGAGAGAATCTCATCCCTGTTTATTTCAGCTTCTGGTGACTGTTGGCATTCGTCAGCATGCTTTGGCTTATAGCCACATCACTCCAAACCTCCACCTCCAACTTCATGTTGCCTTCTTGTCTGCTGTCTGTCAGTCTCTCTGGTGTGTCTCCTATAAGGACGCTTGTCATTGGTTTAGCCACAGACACCCGTCCTGTGATCCTGAATGATCTTTTCATCTCAAGACCCTTAATAGTATAATACCATTTTATAAAGGAAGAAACCAAGTCTCAGAGGACTTAAGTAACCTTCCCAGTAACACACACCCAGGTGGTAAAACACCTCAAACTATTATCACTTAGCTCATTAAGAAGAAACCTTACTGGGGTTGGAGATGTAGCTCAATGGCACCACCCCTGCCTTGAAAGCGTAAGGTCGTGAGTTCAATCCCTGGTACAAAAAAAAAAAAAAGAAGAAGAAATTTTACTGTTGATTTTTTGTTTGTGAAATAGTTGTAAGCCTACAGCAAAGTAATAAGAAAAGCATAAAGGACTCCCTCTCCTTTACCTGATGTCTCAGTTGTTAGGTTTTTACCAAACTTCTCTCACCCT